GGTCTCTTTAAGTTGGAACCAACTTGATGGCATATAACAGTAACAACAAAACAATAATAACCCGGATCTCACCCAGTATAAGAATCAGAGCCCAAGGTCTGCTCTTAGACCCCATTTTCAAGTCCAAATAGAAAGGGCACAGCCACAATCAGGCAGATGTTCATTTTTCTCTTGTAAGTTTGGCAGGTTGTCAAATATGACATTCAACTATCTGTATGTTTGACCCCAAAACTGGCCTGTGCATTTTTTATCCATAATCAATTCCTTTAAACTAAAATATCTTCTTTGCATTTCCTCAGATTATTGATTTAATTAATCAGTGAATACTAATTTTCAAAACTGTTAACTTTTTGAACCATAATTTTTTTACACACATTGTGCTAAGTAAAGACTTTATATATATTATCTCTCTTCATTTGACCTTATTTTATAGATGGGAAAACTGAAACTCAGAAATGGTTAGTAATATCCCTGAAGTCTCCAACAGGTAAAATTGGAGTTGGAACTCAGGCGGTTTTCTCTCCTCAACCTGTTCCTTTAACTATATGTAATGTACTGCTTTCATAATTGCTTATTACTGTATGGAGTTGTAGGTTAATGTGCTAGACTACAAGGTTGGTTTGAACCACAAAGTTAGTGGCTCCAACTCACCAGCCGCTCCTGGAAAACCCAGACAGGGTTGCTATGAATCAGAACTGACTTGATGGTACTTAACAATAACAACAATATGGTTATATTTTAAGCACAGCATAGTTTTAGAAATGTTTAGGTGACAAGAAGCTGCCCGTGGCATCTGACTTACAGCTAAGTGGAGTGGACTCTTGGTAGCACCAGAATCTGAATCTTCAAAACCATTGTTGGTCCTTTCCAAAAGCTGTGGAGACAGAAAGAAAACAATAGCACATAATTCTGTTTGCAAAGTTCAAAAAAATTCCAAGTGGCATAAATGATAAAGGAAGCTTCAGAAACGTTAAGAAATATGCAGCTTATCAGCAATATAAAAATCTGATAAGGAATATCTAAAATGAATATGCTAACTGAATATTTAAACTTCTAGACCACCTCAACATATGCTATTCAAATAAAATCCTTAATAATTGAAAAGATGCTCAGTCTCAGTACTGCAGAAAAATTTCATATTAAGTCCATTTTTCACTTAAGCAGATTGGTAATACAGAACAATATATCAGCAGCAGCTTTTAAATAGTATTTAAAGCCCTAAGATTGGGTGAGATTACTCAATAACAAATATAAACAGAAAGAGACAGGGCCCCAAAACTGAGTCTTTGAGTACCCAACATTAAAAGTTGGAGAAATGAGGAGGAACTAGAAAAATTGAGAATGAGACTCCGTAAATAAAATAGAAGGAAAACTACGAGAATGTGGGGTTCTGGAAACCAAGTAAAAAATTTCAAGGAAAGAATGAGGAGCCATGCCAAATGTTCTGATAAAAACAAACAAGAAACGAATGCCACTGGCTCACTTCTGACTCATAGTGACCCTAGAGGACAGAAGAGAACTGACTCATAGGGTTTCCTAGGCTCTAAATCTTGTTGGAAAGGAGCTCTGGTAGCGTAGTGGTTATGAATCGGGCTGCGAACCTTAAGGTCAGCAGTTCGAAACTACCAGCTGTTCCGCAGGAGAAAGATGAGTCTTTCTGCTCCCGTAAAGATTTACAGCCTTGAAAACCCTGTACAGGGTCGCTATGAGTCGGTTCTGACTCTACGGCACATAACCACCACTGCCAAATCTTGTTGGAAGCAGACCACCACATCTTTCTCCCAATGAGTGAGGTGGCAGGCAGGCTGAACCACTCTGGTTCCACTAGCAGATTAGTGCTTAACCACTTAGCTTCCAGATTAAAATGAGGTCTGAGAATTGACCACTGCAGTAGTGACCCTGATAAGACTGTTTATCAAAACACAGTTTGTATGAAAAAAAAAGAAAAGAAAAACTAGCAATAGAGATGTTGTGATTATTTGTTGTTAAGTGCCTATGAGTTAGTTCTGACTCATGGAAACCCTGTATAGGGTTCATGAGAGGCAGCTCAAACAGGCCTTGCAGTTCAGTGCATTACCGTGCAGTGCCACACCATGACTGCAGCAATAGAGATTGGTTAAATAACGTGTAGTGCCATACATTAGCCCTCTCTTTATCTTCTTAGTATAGTGATGCATCCACAAGAAACACAAGTACAACTCAAAAAGCGTTGCTGTTGGTGCATAAGGTGAGACTCAGCATCCATTCCAGACTTTTGACCTAGTGGTCTGGGCTGTCCTATATTGCAGACACTAGATAGGAAAAACCAAACCACATTTTCCTGAACCTCCGGAAGCTAGGGTTCTCGATGCAATTTAGATTCTACCAATTAGATGCATTGACATGAAATTTGGAAGACAAAGTGACTAGATGGCAAACACAGTTATGGAGACTTTCTTTTGTCTTTCAGCTTCCAATGTCTACTTCACTAGTTTAGTAAGAGTAAGGGACATAGGGTGGTGTGGACAAAGCAGATGCTGTGTGGCTTGAGGGTAGTGACAGCTCTGTCCCTATATCACCCATGATACTATGCTTCTGGTGTCAGCCTTTCTAAGAGCTGCTTTCTTAACTCCCTGCCTTCCCAAATAAGGGGAAGAAGCAGCTCGCCTGGCAGCTCAGTTCTATACATCAAGGGAATTGCTGGAGGACCAGCCTGGACTCCACTCTTCTACACCTTTCAACAATCTTATAAGCATCTATCTTTTTCTTTAATCTTTTAACAATAATTTAAAATCGCTAGTGTGGCATTTTTCTCTTGCAAATGAACTTGACTGATTCAAAGGGTAATGCAGATATATGTGTTGTTCG